AATCTTGCATGTCTGAAAGTACAATTCTCCCACCATCTCCTTTACAACCTGAGAAACTAGGGAGGGTCTCTTCTGAGCCTCTTGCCCCACCCACTATGCAGCTGTGGGCTATGCTATCTCTTACCTGATAGTTCGCTAGGCTGTTTCTTGGCCCATTCTCCCAAGGTCTTTCCCACATACCATTACAATTGCTTTCTATCCCATCCAAAATTTTACAAAATCTAGTTTTATAAAACATGGACCTGAGGGAAGAAGTTAATAGATTTGGTTTTTCACCCATATAAAATCCTTCTTAAAGTCCACTCTATTCTATTATGCATCTCTCAGAAAAACAAAGTTCTGGCATTTTGAAAATTAATTTCGAGTATTATCTCTAGTGTATTGCAGAAAGAATAATTTTCCCCCCATTCCCTGCCTTACTTCCTATTTTAAAATAAGCCATCATATTTGATTATGTAATAATAAACAGGTGATTGTATAAATTCTGCTCCATAAGTATTAGAAGGAATGAAGACTGAAGCGTGAGAGATTTAGTTGAAGACTATATAGGGATTAATTATGAGCTGCAGTTGAAAAGTTTGTGCAGAAAGTTAGTTTTTATATATTTTTTACTGTTGCACTGTGAATACTAAATACTGGTCAAGCAAGCAAATGCAAACAGTCACATTTTTGTAACCCCTATAGAGGCCCATCATATGCAAGGCATTTCAGAGAACGCATTACAAGTTCTCTTCTAACTCTTCTACTTTTCAAAAAGTACTTTTCAAAAAGTTGAACTACTTAAAGTTCAACTACATGTTGGCAGACTGAATCATAGATTATATTTTGAGAATGATGTCATTCTTCCTGCCATCATTGTTTCCCCGTTGTAATCCTCTGACTAATTCTATTGAAATATATCTTTTATCCATAGAATGACCTTATTGGGTTCTTTGTCAAATGTTGTTTCTGCTAAAGATGAAATTGCATCTGCTTCCCCCAAAGTTGATAAAGATGCCTACAAAGATCGGATTTTTTCCAGAAGGAGTTATTTTGATACTTTCTTCTCTACTCTTTATTCCCTCAGAATAGAAGTCTTGTATTTCAGTCCAACCTGTCGTATTATTATGAGAAAGGAAGCAAATGCTCTACTGCCATTTTCCCTCTTGGTAGGCTGTTATGTGTTTCATCAATGTGATGGTTCCATCGGATCACATATAGAAAAAAGTAATGTTTACGCTGACCCTTGGTATGCTCAAAGTGTATTTGTGTTTGTAACCTATGTTACAAAAGAACCCCTTCATTCCTAACAGTGTGAAAACCACAAGCTAAGTGCGGACCCATACACAAACCCACCGCTGGTCAGAATGGAATATACTGAGTAATACATTCTCATTAAGCCAAAATTGGACCACATTTGACCTTAATCCAGTGTGTGATCTCAGCTATTCTCGTTGTAGTACCAGAAACATTTTTGGTATGGCTCTAGAGCTGCTAACTTCCCATTAGTGCTGAAGCAGAGAATCCCCTGATAATAATAGGCAGCTTTTAAGGAGCCGGCTGTGGCGAAGCTGGAGGGCCCAGCAGCTCCAACCCACCGTGCTCCAGGAAACGTTCAAACCACAACTGTGTACGTTGCTCGATTTCTCTGCAACAGTAGTACTGCTTACTAGCATTGTCTTTAAGGTAATAGAAACTTTGTCTGTGTGCTATTGTATCTGTGATAGAAAATTTTACATATATACAGTGGTACCTCTACTTACGAACTTAATCCATTCCGTGACTCTGATCGCAAGTCG